ACACACTGATGACTGCACATATTTACAAAGTAACAAAGTCTGGAGTTGATGTGGATTTTAACAGCTACATGTTTTGTTTTTTTCTTACTTTCGCAGGTGATTTCTCAAAGTGCTGTAGAGCTGACAGGTGAACTCCTCCTCCTCCTCCGATCTTTCATGGTCCTGATCCATACACACCTCCTCTACACATGCACATAAACACACACACAAAAGTTAGAGATGGAGAGTCTACCCTGAAGGAAACTGTGTGTGTGTGTGTGTGTGTGTGTGTGTGTGTGAATCACCTGTGATGGACGTGAGCAGAATCTGGACCAGGTGAGCCACAATCACCAGGTGTAAAAGGTGAAGGTGGGCAGAGTCGACTCCACTTTTGCCTGACTGGTCCAGACTGTGAACGGAGCGGTGAGACAACACGCTGTAAACCTGTAGAGGTAGAAGAGTTTTAATGTTCATGACAGTTTGACAACTAAACACAACAGGTAACAACAGAGGACCATGGGGAGTCACACTAACCAGCAAGTGGAACATGTCGATGCTGAGCAGACACGGAGTGTTTTCATCCTGGGGGTCTGAAACCAGAGCTGCACACACACACACACACACACACACACACACACACACACACACACACGGTCAACATCAGACGAGCTCCAGTGCTGTGTACAAACATCCACACACAAATTGCACACTGGGGTTTACACTCTCACATTTGCATATGTACATTTACATACATGCATATGAATGTGTCCACATGTGGCCTCGTCTCTCACACACACACACACCCTCACACACACACAGAGAGAAAACAAACAAAGACATTTTCATGTCCCCATGTCATGAAGTCAAACGTGTTCTTTTGTCTTCATAATCCTGAAATCTCGATGCAAACGAAGATGAAGGTTTTCTTCAAATGAAGAACCACCTCCAGCCACGGGGACGTCGGGGGAGGGGACGGCTTCATGCAAAACAGTTTAGGGTTTGATTCCAGCTGCATGCTCCCTAAGCTGTGATCGTCCTGCAGCCCCAAACCACCTGGGGGCGCTGGTTCTAGTCCCAGTGTCTTCTGTGGGACGTTCCTCTTATCATCTCCACCTCTGACTACGGTTCAATGTCTCCAGTGTTCCCACCCTGTCCCTGTCCCTGTCCCTGTCCCTCTGCTGTGTCTCCAAACTGTTCCACTCCAGCCTTTCCTCTGATCTGACCAATCAACAGAGAGAATGACCTGAGGGCCTCATGGTTACAGAGGTCAGAGGTCAGAGGTCACAGCCATCTGTTTATTATCTGCATGTTCAGGACTTTTTTATGAATCTGTGGATATGGACCTCTCTAGCTGCCACTTTACCCCTCCCTCCACCTCCCTCCACCTCCTCT